CCTGAGGACTGCTGCGGACAGGGTGGAGCCGTCCTGGCCGCATCTGATGGGCGCCCCCAGGCTAACCCCATGGAGTCTCTGAGCCCTCCTGGGCACGTTTTGGGGAGGGTGGCTGGGGCCCCCCAGGGAGAAGTAGCGCAGGGTCAAGATGTGAAACCGCGTTGGGGGGATGGTGAGACTTTTATTTGTGAGCCTGAGTTTCTTTTGGGGTGTCCTCCTGACACACAGCTGCCCTGCTCTGCCCCACTCACATGCTCCCGAGGAGTGGGGTCCGGGGTCACCTCCCAGCGGGAGCCCTCTGTCTCAGTATCCCAGACCTGCTGTCTAGCCTCCTGTCAGCAGGTCCCAGGCGTCGGTGCGGCGCTGATGAACTTGGCGAACTCGGTGAACTTGGGCCTGGGGGTGGAGATACGGGGCCAGAAGCCACCCACAGAGCGCTGGCCGAAAGTCCACACTGGGAACCAAAGGCACAAAGGGGTGACCGAAGGGAGGGCAGGCTGGGGCTTCTGGAGCCGGAGAGCGGGTCTGGGAGGTCCCTCAGCATCAGCTCCAAGCCCCACCTGCCCCTCTCAGACACCCCCACCTGCCCCTCTCAGACACCCCCACCTGCCCCTCTCGGACACCCCCCCCGCCCGTCTCGGACACCCCCCCGCCCCTCTCGGACACCCCCACCTGCCCCTCTCGGACACCCCCCACCTGCCCCTCTCGGACACCCCCCACCTGCCCCTCTCAGACACCCCCCACCTGCCCTTCATGGACACCCCCACCTGCTCCTCTCAGACACCTTGCCCCTGGGAGGCATCCATGACTTGGGGTGCTATGTACTGAGTGAGGTGTGTCCCCCGGGGCCCTCCCAGGCACCCTGTCCTCCCGCTGCTGGGCCTCGGGGCTCACAGAGCTCACTTGTTTCATTGGCTCAGACAGAAGCCGCCCCTGGACATCCTGTTTTTCTTCTGTTGTATGAACAGGAAGCCAGTGATTGTGTGACGAGTGTGAGCATGGCCGTGTCCAAGCCCGGCGGGGCAGAGACTCGGCCGGCC